GGATTTAAGGTTTAGGGTTAAGGATTGAAAGGTTTAGGGTTTAGGATTTAAGGTCTAGGGTTTAGGGTTTAGGATTGCAAGGTTTAGGGTTTAGGATTTAAGGTCTAGGGTTTAGGGTTTAGGATTGAAAGGTTTAGGGTTTAGGATTTAAGGTCTAGGGTTTAGGGTTTAGAATTTAAGGTTTAGGGTTTAGGATTGCAAGGTTTAGGGTTTAGGATTTAAGGTTTAGGGTTCGGGGTTTAGGATTTAAGGTCTAGGGTTTAGGGTTTAGGATTTAAGGTTTAGGGTTTCGGATTTAAGGTCTAGGGTTTAGGGTTTAGGATTGCAAGGTTTAGGGTTTAGGATTTAAGGTCTAGGGTTTAGAGTTTAGGATTGAAAGGTTTAGGGTTTAGGATTTAAGGTCTAGGGTTTAGGGTTTAGAATTTAAGGTTTATAGGGTTTAGGATTTAAGGTTTAGGGTTCGGGGTTTAGGATTTAAGGTCTAGGGTTTAGGGTTTAGGATTTAAGGTTTAGGGTTTAGGATTTAAGGTTTAGGGGTTGGGGGTTTAGGATAAAAGGTTTAGGGTTTAGGATTTAAGGTTTAGGGGTTAGGGTTTAAGGTTTAGGAGTTGAGGTTTAGGGTTTAGGGGTTTCGGGTTTAGGGATTTGGGATTTTAGGGTCTATAGCGAGTTTAGGGTCAATAAGGTTTAGTGTCTACGGATTTTGGGGTGTATTTAGGAATCTTAGGGCCTATAAGGGGTTTAAGGCCTACAGGGAGTTTATGGTTTCAGGTGTCTAGGGTGTAAGGTTTATAGGGTTTAGGGATTTCAGGGGCTGTAGGGTGTTTAGTTTAGGGTTTAGAGGGTTTAGGGTAAGTTCAGAGTTTTAGCGTGTATTGGATATAGGGAGATTAGGGAGTTTCGGGAGCTTCGGGAGTTTCAGGGAGTTTCAGGGAGGGATTACGGTTTAGGGCCGTTTCGGGTTAGGGGGTGCCTTGGGGTTTGTGGTTTATGCAAGGGTCAGGGTTTAGAGTTTGGCGTATATCTTTTTTCCAATGTTAAACCCTAAACCCTGAACCGTGGTTAAGGGTTGAGGGTTCTCCAGGTGAGTGTTAATAACTGAGGATTTAAGGATCTGGCTATCGGGTGTCAAAGGACCTCAGTTGTGGGGTTAAGGCAAATCCAGAGTTTACCTAGATCCAATTTGTCAACTAATGGCAGGGTTTCGAGCAAGTGTTTTACCTTTTGGTGGGTCCAACTCATTACAGCTTAAGCTGCTTGGATACCCCTGGCACAAGCTGACGACATATGCCACTCAAATATGTGTCTTCGGTGGTTGAAACAAGTAGGGGTATATTCTTCTTCATTTGCTATGCGCAAACTTCTCTGCGTTTGAGCTACAGCCAATACTTCCCGCATAATTTGATAGACATGGGCTCCCTATTCAGGACTATCTTTGGGACCATGCGAAACTACAAGAGTGACCCTTTTGTCCACTGCCAAGGGTTCCTTGATAAGGCTAACATTGACGGTAGCTCATACTTGAAAGTTCATGGGACTTAGTAACTACTTATAACTGGGCTTATAACCCTACTTATAACCCCCCTAAATGGCCTTACAAGGGTTACCCCTGGCCCTATAAGGGTTACCCCAATTGTAAGTAGGGTTATAACCCCAATTATAAATAGTTGCTAAGTCCCATGAACCTCCAAGTAAGGAGCTATATAGCCTCAAGGCGCATGGGTGGCTTGCGGAAGAAGAGGACCCCAGCTATGGGGGGGGCCTTATATGGGCCATAGTCTAAACTCCTAGTATCCACCTTAATAACCCCTATAGTAGTCCCCTATATAATCCCCTAAATAACCTTTAAGGCGTTCAAACTATAGTTCATATGATGAGGAGACCATATGGGACCTTGGGATAGATTGAGCTGGAGGGCTCTGCCAATTTCGTGGATCCTGTGTTTAGGGTTTAGGGTTTAGGGATTTAGGGTTTAGGGGGGCAACGTGATAGGAAGGCTGAAGGTTTTGGAGGCTACGAAGCTTCTCATGGTAGAGGGCAGCGGAGTCTTCCAAAGTGATCCATCTCATATCATGAATGGCACGCGTGGCCCAACTTAGCAGTTAAGGCCCATGGGCCCATGGGTGTAGACTACCCATTGCAGATAATGAATATTCCTTCTAATACGCAATGGTATTATTTTCCTTTTGTCAGGGGGATGGGGCTGGTTTTCCTTGCCGGGTCTGTCCCTCTTGCGATGCCCGCAGCACAACCGTATCACTTTTCAACATGCCGGAACCTGATATACGTATATATATATATAATATGTAAAGGGGTCAAGATACTATAATTGAAGTCTCTGTAGAAAGGATTGTATGGGTAGATCTTGGGAACTCTTCCTCGTGCGCTTTTTTGTTGGTCATTTCCGTGCTCCAGCGTCTGTCAGCAGGCGTACCACGGTCTCGTGGCCCATACGCGAGGCCCAAGCCAAGGGAGTATATAAAGTGCTCACCTGCTCGGGGGTTTAGGGTTTAGCGTTCAGGTTTCAGGCTTAGTGTTTAGAGCTTATAGCTTGAAGGCAGCCTCCAAAACAGAGCCTGCTCCAAGTACTATAAACTTTGTAGTAATTATACAGACGCCACAAGAGAACAACAAGTTTTCGGACCTCCTCTGGCTGTGTAGAAAAATGCACGTAAGGGCCAGCCATTCTGCAAAGAGGGGATCCCTAGGTGGACCCCCCACCCGGTAATAGTCACTATAAGGGATAATAAGGACTATATTGAGGGTCCTCTTATATTCCTAGTATACCACTATTACAGGGTGGGGGGTCCTCCTAAGGGATCCCACAGAGGAACACAACTTTGAAACAACTTGCTGTACCGGGCTCAATGAGGTTCTGTCCGCAAAAGCTCGCTTACTGAGAAATGAGTTTAGGGGTTTAGGGTTTAGGAAATGAAAAAGTAGAGGGAATATCGCGGAACAAAAGAAGAAACTACATGAACCTACTCAGACACAGCGGAGCCACAATGACCCTGAACGCCAGCATTAATTAATGCTGGAAGTAGCCCCTTCCCCTACCCCTGTTCACCCCGCCACTGCCACAGAGAATATTTAACATAAAGCTGTGGAGTAGTGTTTCCCCAAGGAGCCAACTATATAATAATACCTACATTGGGCCCCAAAGTCTATCAATATTACCTACATTGGGCTATTTACATCCTTGAGGCTTGGTATCTGGGGAAAGGGATCAACATTCGACCTTTGAGAGGTCCCGGCACCTGCTCTTTGTTGGCCCTAGCCTCCAGTAGTAGCTTCACAACTTCCGCATGACCTTGGGGTTTAGGGTTCTAAGGTTTTGGGGCTTACAGGGGTTGGGGTTTGAGTGGTTCTTGGAGTTAAGGTTGGGACAGACTGACAAGAAGAACATGGGTCCCCATTGTTGGGGGAATTACTAAATCGAATCTAAAAGAGCTCTGCTGCGAAGATCCCAGCAGCCTTCAAACGATGCCCAGCCAAGAGGCGTGTGCCCTTCGCTGGCTTTTTCCTTCTGAACGCCGGCCTCCAAGGATACGTATTGATTCCCCTACTAAGGGTTACTTAAGCTTTAGGGTTTAGGGTTTAGGGTACTAAGGGTTACTTAAGGATAACTCTATCCAACTACGGCTAGTTAAAGCGGAAGGGGAACCCATGACATATGCCGCACTCAATTGTATCCGACCCTTCTCTAGTCTCCACGTTCTCCGGTTGTTGGCAACAATAAAACTGCAAATCCCGGCTAGCCCCTCCACAGTTCCTAATTAGGCATTGGGCCTTTCAACCCACAAGCTATTGCTCCAACACAACCCTAAACTCCAAACCCTACAGAATCCCTAAATAGACCCGTAATTAATAAACCAACTCCTTTTTAGGGCCCTAACATTAGGATCCCTATTGTAATCCCCCAGGGGAGGGGATCTATTCATTAGGGGTCAACATTAAACCGTTTGGTGCCATCCCTTGGCATCGAGTTTCGGCCTCCAGGAGTACGCGCACACTTTCCACATGACCGCGGCGTGAGGCCCAGCCCAGAAGTGTGTATCCTGAGCCATGGAAACCTCCCCCCTGTCAGTCACCCCCCCGAATAATGGAAACTACTAGATGGTGTATTGGGTATAGATAGGGATAGTGGAAAAGAAAATGGAAACTACTATCTACTGCATAGTATATAGGGTATATATTGGGATATGGTTTAGGGATGCTTAGGGTTTAGGGCCCTAACCTCCAGGTGTGTTTCAGATTAAAGCAGGGAAGGGACTGCGACAGAACGAGGCGATCCATATTGACCCATGGTTTCCACTGTAGAGGTTACCATCCGTAGCCTGTGCCCTAAACCCTAAACCGCAAACTTAGGTCGGCTTGTCACCAACCCCGCGTATCCCGAATCCACGCAGGAATTGCAGAGTTTTATGACTATGGTTTGGTTGAGATATGACATGACGGTTTAGGGTTTAGGGTTTAGGGGGAACAAAAAAACAAGTAAGGTGGTTCATTTCCAAGAAACCATCAAACTTGTGCTTGAACACTTGAGCCACCAGCACCATCTCTAGGACCTAATCCTCCCCCTTAAGTAGATAGGGGCTTGTATAGGGATAATGGAAAAGACAATGGAAACTACGATATCATAATAGGGTATAACTTGGGGGTTAGGGGGCCCATACTGAACCCTGAACCCTCCTGTAAAAAACGTTGAGGCGATGTTGTTCCAACTGTATCCCTCCCATGCTAAACGGAAATTCTGATGACACTGATCCCCATATTCGGGACCTTCTAACCATCGCATGACTGCAATAGAGTCCTAGCAGTTGCTGTTCAGAGCAGGGCTTCGAATTCTACGGCGCCATGCTTACTTACCCACCTCCGGCGCGCAAAGAAATGAAATGAAGGAACGGATTTTTCTGTGGTCCCTATGTAACCCCCATTGTGAGGGTATTGTCCATATTCTTTTTTATTCCCTGCCAACGAGAGGTAATTTATGTAACCCCCATATAGTCCACTTTCCATGTAGTTGTCCATGTTCTTTTCCATTTGATGCTTCAATCATTGGCGGAATATATCCCTTAGCCCTAAATTTAGTAGTTTCCATTTGCAGGTCCATCACCCTGCCCCATATATAACGCGGAAGATATAAGAATCCGTTTAAAAGGACCCCCCCCTAAACCCTAAACCCTAAACCGTAAAGGCCCAGGGCTTAGGCCATGATTTTGGATCAGCTTTACAGGGTAACGGTATCCGGTCTGATATCTAATTCATGGGTTTCCTTACTACCCCCCCTCTATACTACCCCCCCAGGTTCCCCCCTTATTTAAGGTTATTTGGGGATAATTAAGCCTAATTAAGGTTAATTAAGGGGGGACCAAGGGGGTAGTATAGAGACGGGTAGTAAGGAAACCCATGACTAATAGCTAGGCAACTCGGTATTCGTTTGGGCTATACCTTTCAGAATGATAGTGGATACCCAAACTCCTGCACGACCCGAAGTACTTTCTTCCTTGTGGTATAACTGGAATATATGCAGGTCATGCAGGATTCCCCGCATCAGAAAGATCACGAAACCTAAAGTCCTTGAATGCAACTTGGCTACTAGACTATCTCCAACTTGAAAATGCAGAAGCTCTTTTACGGTCACAGCCCCTGCAAGTTTTTTGGAAGGCAGCGGGTCTAAGTCTAAAGCACCGCGGCTCAGATCCACTGACAACCTCTTTCCCCTTCCCATTCCCCTTGAAGCTCCTAAAAGCCAAATGTTACTACTATTGAAAGACTTTTGGCCCAAACAAAGCAATGGTGTAACCTAATCCCCATAATCACTTTGGCAACTCGGTTGCCATTTCATTTTCAATTTTTGTTCCATTTGATTCCCCCATTCTTGGGGCGTCATATGATCCCTGTCATTAAAATCCTGGTATACCGCCTATACAACCCACTTAGATCCCTGTGGTTCCGGTAAGATTTGTGGCGAGAGTCTATTCCTGACCTTGTCTTTGTCTGCCCTGGCCACCAAAAGCGCGCGCAGCACTGGCGCGTGACCGTCGCGCACAGTTGACCAGATGACTTTGTCATTCCTTGTGCTTCAGCGATTTAGGGTTTATGGGAGGGTTTCGGGGTTTAGAACATTATATAACCCATTATAGTAGTTTCCATTTTATTTTCTATTTTCCTAATGTTATCCCAATATTACCCCCAATGGTTATATTTTTGTCAAAGCCTACTTGCCCACTAGGAGATCATGGTTTTCTGAACCCGTATTAACAATGGAGTCCTGATCTTAACATGCTTTAGGTAGATAAGGGAATTTCTCAAAATGCGGGCCCTAAGGGCCCAGGGATACATGGACTTGTTCATGTGGGCATCCTACAACTTTTGGATGGGCGTAAGTAATTAGAAGAACAGGGCTTCGGGTATGTCACAATAATGCATGGGTTTCAAGGTCATCATGCTACAAATGTTCTCTGCTTCTGCATGATGGGTGTTAGTGTAGACTGCGCACAGGGGGTGCCCGGCTACAACAGAGGTAGTCTTCCCTTCTCAGAGCGCTCGCGAGACGATTATTTGGTGAGGGCATCAACAACCAGAAAGTCGATGCCCAAAATTCGGACCCGAAGCCCAAAAACCCTAAACCCCGAATCCTGAAACCCAAGCCCTTGACTCTAAACCAGCATACCGAAAGCCAACCTGGCGTCAAGAACTGTTGGAAGTCTTTGGCTGCTCCTCCGTGCAACCTTGTTGTCTGCAAGGTTTAGGGTGAGGGTTCGGGGTTTAGGGTTGTTATACCCAAGGGTCCAAGCTAGATTATTATCCCATACTCCCCAGAGCCTCAGCAGCGATTTCTAGCAGAATAACGGCGTAGAATCTTGTTGTTGTATAAGGGACCCTGAGGGTTTTGACCTGACTTCAGCGCACCTGTTAACCTTGAAGGCGGGGAGGAAAGGTGAAATGCCGAGCTTCTGGATCAAGTAGGGGCTTACCGGAAGTATGCAAGAATGATCCCAGGTAGGAAAGGAGCCTTTCAAAATTCAAGAATGTTCTGTAAGGCAAATGCCCGTTCATCGGAAAGGGATTGCGTATGCCAGAGATTCTACCATTTGCCTCCAAGGCGCGTTCCCGAAATCAAGCGCCCCCAATTACCCCCCCGAAGCAAACACAAACAGTCCTCCTTTCAACCGATCAGTGAGCTTCATTTAACCCTTTTCGAGGTTGGATGTCAGCTTAATGTCGGGCACCCAAAGCACGCGAAAAGCCTTTCCTGACCTCTCAGGGCAGCAGGAGCGTGGCAATCTCATTACACCCATGCAAACAGGCCCAGCGAAGGGCTTCGCTCACGATATCCTCATCCTCGGAGGCTGGATGGCAAATTGAAAGCAGAGGTACTTTGGGATCCTAGGATGACTAAAGGTTGGGTACTGCCCCCCCCCCCCTCAGTAACAGTTGGATGATATTTATCATATAGCCATAGCTATATATAACCCTTAATAGGACCCCTAATATAGACTGTTACTGAGGGGGGGCAGTACCCAAACTAAAGGGTTTGAGAACCTCCTCACAACGCTACAAGGCTTATGGTGTGTTACCTAACTCCCGAGTGCACCAAGGCACTGTTTTGTGGGCCCTCAGGATATGTGAGGTTACCACGGGGCTGTGGGGGCCCCATTTTCGGATTACACAGAAGAGCTTCTGGAGACGCTAGGACTCTACTTGTGTAATTTGCCAGGGGCGTTTTGAACCCTCTAAACCCCTTTACTCCCCCTTGCTTGAGCGCCCGCAGCCCTGCCACTTCCCCCACCTCCAGTGGTGGCCATCCCGGTCAGGCCCCACCATCATGAAATTCCGGCACTTCCAAGGCTTGAGAGCTTGGAAGTTCTACAGGGGTCTAGAATAATTACCAAAATATTTTTAAGGTCCATTTGAGGTACCATATACTAATCATATTTATACAAGGAATATGGAACCATAATATTGGTCATTAATCCCTGAACCCTAAACAACTAAACAACCCTTAACCCTAAGGAATATGGAGCCTTGATATTGGTAATTCTGTAGGCCCCTCTATTACTCCTTTCTTCGAGCTCCGCGAGGATGCGCTTTGTATAAGGGCTTCAAACCAGCTTCTTAAGGTGAGAGATGGCGTTTACAATTATAATCCCCCTTAAGTAGATAGAATATGGAGTATATGGGGATCTTGTTATGATATACCCAAAGCCATATTCTATCCCTAAACCCTAAGCCCTATACTCTATCTACTTAAGGGCGACTATAATCCTATGAGGTGGTTGAGCGAAGTACGGTTCTATGGATATACAGAGTACTCAGCAAAACAAGAAGCTGTGCCTGCCCAAATTGCTGACTACAATTTTCCGTTCAAAATACTATTCACGTGGGGGCCCTGGGCAGGAATACCTGGCTTCACAGGTGTTCTTATGCCCTGTACAAGCAAGTTGTTGTATTCGCATAATGATAAAGGAATTGCAAACAGCGCTTGGAGCAGCCACTAGTGTTTACAATTACCTTGGACCTTCAAGGAACAGCCCCCAATGGTGAAAACAGGCCAGAACCCAAACCCTACACCCGCTGCCCTAAACCCTCTACCCTGAACATGGGCTAATGATCCCAAGGATCTGGACTAGCCTTCATCAAAAGGCCCACGATCTCAGCGTAGCCTCCTTGCACTGCCCGCCACAAACACTGGTTTACCTTGCCCCGGTGAAAGCCTGGGTGGTTTGATGTAGACCCCTGATTTATACACCCCCTCCCCTTAATAGGAATTATAATAGGAATCCTTATATTCAGGCCCTTTATGGGTCTACATTAGGGTTTAGGGCCTACGGTTAATGGTTTAGGGACCACAATATGTGCATATAGTAAGTAATAGGGCACCCTTTTTGTATAGTAGCTTACCTTACAGTTCTTTAACGGCAGCCCAGAAGCAGGCTCCTAAAAGCAAACGCACAATCTCGGTATGCCCAATCTCTGTCGCCCAAAGGAGAAGCTTGGCATGGAGCCTGCTGTCTTGTTTTACGTTTGCGCCAGCTTGTATCAATAAGCATACAGTTTCTGCGTCATGCTCATCGCATGCCGCCTCGATGGTGGCTGAAACTTCCACTGATGATGCGCCCGCACCGACCGACAGCACTAGTTGTAAGTCCATGGGCGACTCCAGCTTTGCATCATCATCCAATGTCATGCCGTTGTGCAGCAATTTCTGTGCACACTGAGGAATCCCGCACAGCTTTCGCACTTCATGCTTCAATGTCCGCACATTACCGAAACGTTTCAGGGGCAGTTCAGCAATTGTGCCTCCTGAGGTAGCCCAACAAACGCGCAGCATCTCGTGACCAATGCTGTCCGGTCCATTGCAGCCGCCGACAGAACGAGGCATGTGCACTTAAGCCGACATGCAGCGCATGTCCAGCCGACCAGTCCGATAGTGGCATGCAGGCTATACTCCTTGTCAAATCTATTCCTATTGCTTGAATGAAACTATTGTTTCTAAAGCCGCCATTATTGTGGCTCTGTCGTATACTCATTCATGCCTATGAAAGTACTAGACCTACTGGTGCTTAGTAGGGAATAAGGGAATATAGTCCCTATACAAACCCTCATAAACTGTGTTACCTCATTCCCTACTAAACCCCAGGAAGTAAGAGGTGAAGAAGTATACCCTTTGGCTGTCTCCGCCTCCGCTTGCTTAGGGTTTAGGGCTGTTAATCCTGTTATCATCGGTACTACGTCTTTGAGGACAATGGCGGCTGAAGCAGTCTCCGTCAAGGAATGAAGATGAAGACCACTATCAAACCCTAGAAGCCCAGGTACCCATATAGTAGGTCCTTGGGTTATAGATAGTTTAAAATTATATAGGGACTTAAGGACAGGAACCCAATATATAGGTAACTGGGCTTCTAGGGAAAGTAGTAGCTGGAGAGATGTCTTACATGAATGTCGCCCCAGCTTCAGCAACAAAATGGCCGGTTATCTTGCCAATACGGCCTCATGCAGTTGGTAGTGGAGGATAAAGTATGCTTGCGACTCAAAACCTAAGAGCTTGAAATTTTCTCCGTCACAAAAACCTTTGGCCTGTAGGTCCTGTAGGTAAAGAACACCTGGATTTGGAGTCTCAGTTCAACCTCTAACCTGATAAACGTTAATTCGCTTGATGAACAGAATGCGAATACAAAACAAATTATGCCATGATTTGGGTTTGGATGCCATGCAGGGCCATGCCGATCTGCGGTTTACCTAGACCTCCCCTCCCAAATACCCATAATTAATTACATCCGTCATACCCCTTATCTGGGGCAAAAGATATGATTCTGGGTATTTGGGAGGTCTAGGTCTAGGTATGGTCAAGGGTTTGATTTTCAAGGCAAAGGTTTCTGCTCCTGCAAGGTCTTAAAAAATGTGAGCCCTTCGTTCGTCGAGCATGCCTTTACCAAGGGACAGGTACCAATGGCATTCTGCTAGGCACCCAACATATTATACTAACCAATATTCCAGAGGAACCCTATATATTTCACCAAAAAGGGTGGGAACCTATCTCCCATGACTCTTTCAGGGCGCTCTTTTTATGGGTCGAGGGTTTAGGGTTTAGGGTTGAGTTTATCAAAGCTGTCTTATGAAGCACCTCGCGGAGGGCAGGTTACAATTTCGGCTGCCTACTTCTCACCAGCATGGTCTGCAAACAAACTGGGCTGCCGTTGAGGAAGTTAAAGGAAATTACTATACTAAGGAAAGCCTATTATTTACTATACCCATATTATGGTAATTAAGGAAACCCTACTATTTACTATGTACCCATATTCTGGTAGCTTACAATAAGTTCCTTAACAGCAGCCCAACAACACAGCCGTGATCTTAGCAGGGCGTGAGCATCCTCAGCAGAGCAGTTGAATCAGAAGGACCCTGAACCGCACCCTAAACCCCCAAACCCCAAACACTGAACCGCACTCCCCTCCCGACCAACGCTGAACCCTGAAACGCCAGGATCCTAATACTGAATCCGAAAGCATCCTCAACTGTACTTACCTCCGGTTAGCAGGAAGCATCCTTAGTGACCCAACCCTCCACCCTAAACTCTACTTGAAGGTTCATGGGACTTAGTAACTACTTATAACTGGGCTTATAACCCTACTCATAACCCCCCTGAATGGCCTTATCGGGGTTACCCCAATTATAAGTAGGGTTATAACCCCATTAATAAATAGTTACTAAGTCCCATGAAGCTCCAAAACCCTAAACCCTAAACCCCGCAACTCCAAACTCTAGAATCCTGAACTTCACTAATAGTCGACTGCTTTCGGGCCTGCGGTGGGGGTGCAGGAGCCGGCTCCTCCTTCCGCTTCAGCACGCGGTCCTTACACCAGGTAGGTTTTAGGGTTTAGTGTTTAGGGTTTAGGGTGTAGGGTTCAGGGTTTAGGGGTTTAGGGATTTGGGTTTGGGGATTTTGAGAGTTTAGGGGTCTAAAAATTTAGGAGGTTAGGGTTTAAGGCATGCCGGGAAAGGTTTAGGTGGCACTTATCAGGACCCTTGTACGCGTCTATTAAATGGGCCCTAGCCCTAGACCCTGAACCCCAAACTGTTTATGAAGCCTACCTGTAACCCCGGTTACCTACAGCTCCAAAGTAGCTACCCCTTGATTATTCGGTACAACCCATAAAGGTGTAGGTAAATCGGGTTACAGGTAGTAGCTCATCCTTCAAAGTTAGCCTCCTTCAGACCTCAGGGCGGGTCCGGGGTTTAGAGGTTCGGGGTTCAGGGGTTGGGCTTCATGGTTCTGGGGGGCTTGGAGTTGCCAGATTTAGGGTTGGATGTTCAGGTTTTTGACTTCAAGGTTTTGGGTTTAAAGGTTTAGGGCTCAGGTAGAGCTCTCAGCGCCTTGTTTGTTGGTGGTGTGGTTTTCCGGGAAAAGAAGACATGGCAAAAGCCTAAACCCTATACCCTAAAGCCCTAACCCATATACCTTCACGGCTCAGTCACGTGGCTGTAGCCAGAGGGCAAGGACCGAGGCTTTGAGAGGCTAATTGCGGGTTTCCCAAAGGGTTTAGGGTTTAGGGTGACTGTTTTGGGAGGGTCCCAATAATAAGGATTATAGCATTTGCTGGGTCCATATTGGGATCCCCCTGTTTTGAGAAACTACCAATTAGGCAGAAATTCAGGGTTTCGGGTTTAGGCAAGGCAAGCTACTGGAAGTCGCACTCCTTCCCACCAACAACTGTGCAACTTAAGTGTGCAGAGAGTGAACAGCCAAAGTCAGGGAAACCAGTTCATGGACCTGCTGAGATTTTGTACTTCATACCTGGGTTGGCCCCTAAAACCCTTTGAAAAATAGTAGTACATAGGGTCCCTCATTAAAGCCATTAGGGAAAATATTAAATACCCGAGGGGCCTACCCAGATACACGGTTGGAAACACGGTCCTAAAACTCGACTCGCAAACTCGACAACCTTGTTCGGAACCTCTCTGACACCTTGTCGATTTTGACATGGAGCTCGAAGCCCCTGAAAAACTGAACCCTCCAACCCCTCACCTTCTGGGAAAACCCTTGGGTCGAACAACCCATCTGAATCTCAGGCGCCAACCAAAAAGGAGTTCATAGGATTCCGCATGGCCCCTGTCTTCTCTGGGCCTTCATGAAATGGTTCACTTGGGAAGCCCAGGGGCTGAGGTTGGAAGCTGTGTCTTGGGCAGCTGTTGAAAATGCATATCCCCAAGGGTTTAGGGTTCAGGGTCTAGGGCCACAGATTAGGTTTCCTTTTTGGTTGGACCCCTCTCTAAACAGGCGTATTCCCAAAGGTCCCTTCTTTGCAATGACGTGTCCTGTCGGTGTTCCTCAACTATAGGTGGCAAAATGTATGCCCAAATACAGCTGCTGACCCAAGTATAGCTGATGGCGAAGCCCCATGATTGTCTTGATGAGGGCTGTGGGTTGAGGCAAGGACACTGAGAAGTTAGATCTTCGACGAGGACTATAACAGGAGCGCGACTGGGTGTACTACAAAAGTTTGCTGACAACTGAATCTGGGTCTGGAGTCCTTCGGGCCATTTTTCAGGCGTTGCTGTTGAACCCTAAACCCCTAGATCCTAAAACCTAAGCCCTAAAGCGCTAAACCCCCATGAATCTTAAGTCCCTCAGTCTACTTTAAGGACCTTTTGACATGTAAAAAAAGTTCAGCAACATGGGCCGGCCCAAGGTCTAGCGCTGTTTACTTGAAGGTCCATCGAAGCCTTGGTAGGCATATTACGAAACAGTACGTAGTGTTATCCACCTTGGTTTAAGGTGTAGAGTTGTAGGGTTCAGGGTTTTGGTAGTTAGTGGAGACTGTAGGACGTTACCTGTTTGGAGCTTGGATCGTCCATAGTCCCAATACTCGCTCCACCCTCCTGGGATGATACTGGGTCCAAGGTACAAAACTATCATCTACTCCCTCAAACTGTGATAACGATTCCTAGTATAAGAATCCCAAAGTATAGGAGCATTGTATGCTGTGATGTTCACACCCAATTTCGCATAGGAACTTCAGGTTAAGTATGAATTACACAGAAACTTGGGCCACTTGGGCCCTTGCGGTAAGCCTGCGCAACTACGCTTCATGTTCTTGAATGCGCTGGAAGACTTATAATTAAGTAGGTAGAATATGGGGTATATGAGGATCTTTTTATAAAATACCCAAAGCCATAGGCTATTTACTTAAGGGGGACTATAATAGATTTGGGG